CGTCCCCGCTCAGCACGACAATATTATTTTAATTAAATGTATTGATGATTTATTATTAATATAAAAATAATCCATAAGAAATCTTTATTTTTAAATGCATTTTATTATATAATAATAATTACTGTCTATCATTGTCTAAATGTATTTTTACTGTCTAAATATATGTATTCAGCTAGTGTAAACATGCACAATGCTATCACAGCGAATGCGAGGCTGAGACTGAAGCGTTACCCTTTGTTTCCGCTGAAAGATGTGCCGCGTGACTCATTTCCCCACTAGTACAAGTTATCTTCGGATGGCGTTCACAGTTTGACTTCTGACATTCAGATCGAGTTCTAGGTTATTTTTTTTTTCGAACTGGCTGGTTCGACTTTTAAGAAATTCTTGTTCTAATGAGTTCGAGAACTGAGGTACCACTGTAATTAGATTTTCTTAGTGTGCATGCAGACTGATTGACTAATACTGCCCAGATTGGGTAGAGTTGGACCGGGCTGGAGTAACCAAAACAGCTCTTGTCCACTGAAGCCTTGGACGTCTCTTACCAGATGGACAGGACTTTCAGATCCAGCCCATGCCCAACAAAGCTGCTTTCTTAGTCTCACAGTGATTACAGGCAGATAAAAAAATTAGTGCACAGAAAGAAAATTCTAAATCACAGACTAATAGCACCAGGCCAGTCGCTAATGTTATGCATCTGAACATTACAGAGACTGCGGGAGGTATTTTAACTGATGCAAAATGCAATGATATCCCCAGCAATTAGCCTAATTTGCACCTACCAACTCACATTTCAGTCTTCAAATATGGAGCTGTGTTTCCCGGCGTTCATTTCTGTGAAGTCGCTCGGCACTCAATGGAGACTGCAGCCTCCTGATTGCAATCAATTTCCTACAGATGAGCAAAAAAGGGACAATCTTTAGTTTTTTTTTTAGGCATTGTGGTTCACAGTTGACAGCCCCACATCCATGCTGCTACCATCAACCCATACATCTTTACAAAAGTAACGAGTCAATAGGTCTTATTTTAAGGCTTTGTATAGTATATTTACATACATCAGTTCAGAGGAAGGAAAAATTCACTTTGACAGTACAAGCAATACAGATTACAAATTAGGAAAAGCAAATCCTCTCCCCCAAGACAAACATTTCAAACTGCTTTATTGATTTAAGGTGTCCAACTAATTTCAAACATGCTGCATTTAAAATGCAAGACTCTGGTCTTAATATGATGTGACAAAGCCACACTGATTTCAGCATGCTAACTCAACACAGCAGCATCCTGTTAAACCAGAAGAGTCGAGTTGGGACTTGCTCACTGAGACTACCAGAAAGGCCTGCACGAGCCACACACCCACCCTGTACCCACTCATCCAAAACAGATTCAGTTTTAATGCCCTAGGTACTCCACATGCTGGCTCCAAGATGAGCCCGCTGACCCAAAAAACACACTATGAGGAGCTCCCTGAAAGGCTCCAGCTTTCTGCACTTATTTGGACAGGATCCTGTGCCTCCAAAGAGCTCTGTCACATTACCATGTGACACTGAGGAAGGTGGAACATGACACACGACACAGTGCAAATATTTGCTGGGTGGGACACTTCTCAAGGGCAAGGAAAAACTTCTGGACTGACACCTGAAGGTACAGGTCCCCGATGAGTCAGACACGTGTAGGGCTACCGTCTGGCACAGGCACAAAGCAGCCACAGAAACCGAGGGCTGAATGACACCCTGGAACAGGCAATACCAGATCACTGGCACCTAGGAGGCAAACTCGCCCACGCAAGCTTGTGGAGAGAAGGAACAGCCATTCTCAAGAACTCCATTTCTCACATATACTGTGATGTCTCAATTAATCACGGAGCTAATTTTAGCTGCAGATGGCCCATGGGGACAGAGCACACTGGCTACCACTATAGCAATGGTACAGCAATAAATACATATGGATACTTAAAAACCCATTAATGGGAAATATTATCACCAGTTAGCAGCAGAAAGCCTGCGCTCTGGTTACGCTTTTGGACTGAGGACGGAGAATCAACATAGCAGTAAACAGGCCACATGGCCAAAGGTTATTGGCCCGGGACAGACCCACAGCGGAGTAGTTCATGCAGAACATTACCCAGTAACAAAGACAGAACTGGATGTTTAGCTCTTCAGCTGTCAGACAGCTGAAGTGTGTGGAAAACTGGCATGAATTAAGAACATAAAGTGGATCTGGCATTAAATTAACAAATAAATAGAAGGAAACTGATTATGCAGTATGTGTTTTCCTTGTTAGTGAAATTGTATTGATCTAGTGACAGGCAGAGATAGTACAGACACTCCTCACTTAAAGACCGAGTTTCGTTCCTGCGACTGACTAGGTTGTTAAGCGAACTGATCAAGATTAAGGGAGGAGTCGCCCCTTACCAATATTTCAGGCAGATTGTACTGGTATTGGGTTTGTGTCAACCATGTATAGATTTTAATGTCACCTTTGCACCATTTATAACATTTTTAGTATATTAATAATTGGTTATACAGCAGTGTACTGTGTACTGTAATAAACAGTGTACTGTTCCCGCTATGTGTTTTCCCTGTATGTCACAGGTGAAAATCTATGAGGGAAGCTGAAATAAACAAAAATCAGAAAAGCCTTAGGACAGCATTTCTCAAACTATGTATATTTACTTAGCACTCCGGTTAGGTCATGTTTAATATTGCGCATAAGCCCTAATAATATTAATAGTAGTAATAACAGTAGTGGTAGTGGTGTAGTAATAATAATAATAATAATAATAATAACAATAATAATAATAATAATAATAATAGTAATACTATCTATGTATAGTAATAATATCTATTTATCTATCTATGAGGATACGCATCCGCAGGGGGGGGGTCATTTATGCAGGGCCCTGATGATTATCTAGCATAGCAAAGTTACAACTAGCTGGCTGATAAGCGCTGACGGTAATCATCACTGGAATTACAAATAAACGATAAACGAACATATACAAGCATTTATTGCAAATTAGCATTACTGCAATCCAGTGAATCACTGTTAGCATCCTTTTGCACATTACTGACCTATAACAGTACATAGAAAATAAATAAGTCACTTGAATATATTAAGTAAGATATGAAACAAGTACAAAAACTTACAGCCATTACTTTCGAAGACGTAAGAAAGGTATAAGACACAGGAAGCCTTTCCGGGTGGTTTTAAACAGGTAGGTTGTTAAGTGAAGAGTGCGTGTTCATATAAGATACCGTGGGAGCAGTAGGGTATGGAGATAGAACTATTGTTACAGCCTGTAATGACTCGTTATGACAAGCATTGTTTTGTCCAGCTCTTGTTTTTTAACAAGGGTAAATGCTAAAACCTCTCATTTTCAGCATGACTCTCCGCAGGGCACTACCATCAATGGCTAATTGTGCTGGAACACCTTCAGCTGCAGGCTCAAATATGTGAATAAGACTGGTGACAATGTTGTCAATGACACATTACAGAGGAGGAGCAGGGGCAGGAGCAGGTGACACAGCAACTGCCAGCACTCAGCTCGTCCCCCCACACCCCCAAATGCCATTATCCCTGGATGAGAATCAAAACAAACTTCCCGAGAGCCTTGCCAGGGTGCTGGATTTAGCACCTCCAAAGGCTGCTCTCCTCTGCCTCATCTCTCTTCTCCATCAGCTTCACCTTCGCTTCTGCCTTGCAGGCCTTGGTCAGACCCCACCCCACCCCCACCTCATCACCCTGGGCCACACCCAAGTAACCTAAATGAACTTTACATGGCAGCCCCCCAGGATGCAGGCAAAGACAGGCGAGGGTAACAGGGCACCTCTTTGTACTAGAAGGGCCCAGGTGGCTGAGGGAGTCGATCCTGACAGATGGAGCACAATCAAAGCCACTAGAGATCATGCACTTGTGGATCCCTAGCATATAGTGGGCGGGTCACATGCACCGTCATCAGTGACCAGATCATTGTACAGGCATCTAGCGCTCCACGTGCATTGTTCTCCTATCAGCGGGCCCCCCCCCAGCACACTGTAGCATTCCTCAGACATCAGACAGCTGCCGTCACAACAAAGCCAGGCCCCCCCACCCTCCGACCTGGCTCTGCAATGCTTAACCTTGCCACCCAACACTGCATTGTCTTTCACACTTGCATGATGAAAATGGATGGCTGCAATTACCACCACACAACCTTGACAACTTCAGCAAACCTGAAGAAAGGGGGAGGAGGGTGGGGGGTGGAGTTCAGAGCCCCCTCCCTGACAGAGGCATAGCCACTCATGCCCGTCCACAGCGTGGAGGCTACAGCCGTGTCCGTATGCCTGTCCTTTCTGGCTGATACTTTACTGCAGAAAGCTTCAGCACCATCTGGATTCTGCCAAACTGACACTGTGCCACTGCTGTCACTGCCCTCCACCACCACCGCCACCCTTCATTTTCACCCACACAGCCCATCCTCAATATGCCAAGAGAGGTGCCCAACTCGGTGACAGGCCT